ATCTGCTCTCCCACAATATGGTGCTGGGAGAGAAGAAAACAGCTTCTACACAGCTGCCTCCAGTTCAGCCAATAAACTGTAGGACTTGCTCCTGATTGGAGGAGAGCAGCGTGCTTGGCGTGTGGGCAGCCGAGTTGGGATTGGCGGAGGAGGACTATATAGGAGGAGAGAGACGGCATGCACCAGGAACATCTAAGGGGAACATCTAAGGGGAACACCTGAAGGGAACACCTGTGCAGCCCCCGAGAGAGCCGGCCGGCGGTGTGCCGCTCCCCTGCGGAAGTGGGGAAAGTGGCCAGGGGGAACCGCCCTTCCTACGGAGTTGGAAGAGACAGTAGCCAACCCGGGAAGAACCAGCAGCAAACCCGGGGAGGGCCGAGCAGACCAAAGAACAGCGCAGGGTCCTGTGTCGTTCCTCCACGAAGAGGGGGAGCGACATAATGGTGCCGTGACTCGGATATGAAGCCTAGGCAGGGTTTAGTGTCGTTCCCCCATGAAGACGGGGAGCGACAAAAATGTACAGTTCATTTTTTTTTATTTATTTATTTTTTTTTTTGACAGGCAGAGTGGACAGTGAGAGAGAGAGAAAGAAAGGTCTTCCTTTTGCCGTTGGTTCACCCTCCAATGGCCGCCGCGGCTGGCGCGCTGCGGCCGGCGCACCGCGCTGATCCGATGGCAGGAGCCAGGAGCCAGGTGCTTTTCCTGGTCTCCCATGGGGTGCAGGGCCCAAGCACCTGGGCCATCCTCCACTGCACTCCCGGGCCACAGCAGAGAGCTGGCCTGGAAAAGGGGCAGCCGGGACAGAATCCGGCGCCCCAACCAGGACTAGAACCCGGTGTGCCGGCGCCGCTAGGCGGAGGATTAGCCTATTGAGCCGCGGCGCTGGCCAAAATGTACAGTTCATTTTAAAAAATACTTTTACAGGTTTTTTAAGCACCACCAAAATATAATTGCAAAATATTTTCTTCACAAGAAACTCTGAACCTGTTAATGGTCATTCTCCATCCCTTCTTACCAACCCTAAGCAATTTCTAATCTACTTTCTGTCTCTGTGTCATTATCTGTTCTAGACATTTCATATAAATGGATTTCATATAAATGTGGTCTTCTAAAGGTTAGTTTCTTGTACTCAGTATAATACATGTAGTATATATCAGCACTTCAATATTTTCTATGGTTAATATGAACATGTGAATTATCACCACTCTGGCATTATAAAGCTGCAGTGAATAATTATTACCACTTTTTACATGTTTGTGTTTTCACTTTATTTTTTTATTAAAGGTTTATTTATTTATTTGAAAGTCAGAGTTACAGAGAGAGAGGAGAGGCAGAGAGAGAGAGAGAGAGAGAGAGGCCTTCCATCCGATGGTTCACTTCCCAATTGGCTGCAATGGCTGGCTGGAGCTGTGCCAATCCGAAGCCAGGAGCCAGGAGCTGCTTCTTTGTCTCTCACGTGGGTGCAGGAGCCATCTTCTACTGCTTTCCCAGGCCATAGCAGAGCTGGATCGGAAGTAGAGCAGCTGGGTCTCGAACCGGCGCCCATATGGGATGCCAGCGCTTCAGCCCAGGGTGTTAATCCACTGACCACAGCGTCAGTGCCATGTGTTTTTACCTTTTAAAACATTTATTTGAAAGCCAGAGTGACAGAGAGACTAAGAGACAGAGAAAGATCTTCAGTCTACTGGCTCATGCCCCAACTAGTCACAATAGCCAGGGCTGGGTCAGCCTGAAGCCAGGAGACCAGAACTCCACCCGATCTCACATGTGGGGGCCCAGTACTTACAGCACCTTCTATTGCCTTTCCAGTTGCATTAGCAGGAAGTCAGATTGAAAACAGAGCAGCCAGGAGTTGAACCAGCACTTCTAAATGGGATGTCACTTTGCAAATGGTAGCTTAACCCATTGTGCCACAACACCAATCAATCTCTCTATGTTTTCACTTTTCTTTTTTTTCAGATTTTTTTATTTGAAAGTCAGAGTTATAAAGAAAGAGAAGGAGAGGCAGAGAGAGAGGTCTTCCATCCTCTGGTTCACTCCCCAAATGGCTGCAACAGCTGGAGCTTCTTCCAAGTCTCCCATGTGGGTACAGGGACCCAAGGACATAGGCCATCTTCCACTGCTTTCCCAGCCCGTAGAAGAGAGCTGGATCAGAAATGGAGCCGCCGGGACTTGAACTGGCGGCCATATGGGATGCTGGCACTGCAGGTGGCAGCTTTACCTGCTACGCCACAGCGCCGGCCCATTTTCACTTTTCTTAGCTATAAACTTAGAGCTGAAATTGTTGGATCATACAGTTACTCTAGGTTATGGACTGAATTGGGCCTCCTCCAATTCATTTGTCAAAGTCTCAGTTCTAGTACTTTAACTATATTTAGAAATAGGGTCTTTAATGTGGGTAATTAAGTTAAAATGAGGCTGTTCATAGGAGACCCTAATCCAATGTAACTGCTGTCCTTGCAAGGGGGTACAGACACAAGGGATGCACAGGCGGAGAGGGAAGAGTAGGTGGAGAAGCAGGGAGAAGACAGCCATCACAAGTCAACGACAGGGTCCTCAGGAAACACCACAGCTGCCAACACTTTGGCCTGAACCTTCACCCCTGGAACTTTGAGAAAATAAATTTGTGTTGCTTAAGATACTTGGTCTGTGGAGTCAGTGCTGTGGCTCAGTGGGTTAAAACCCCAGCCTGCAGCACCAGCATACCATATGGGCACCAGTTTGAGTCCCAGCTGCACCTCTTTTGATCCAGCTCTCTACTGTGGCCTGGGAAACCAGCGGAGGATGGCCCAAGTCCTTGGGCCCCTGCACCTATGTGGGAGACAGGAAGAAGCTCCTGGCTCCTGGCTTCGGATGGGCGCAGTTCTGGTCATTGCGGTCATTTGGGGAATGAACCAGTGGAATGGAAGACCTCTCTCTGGCTCTACCTCTCTCTGTAACTCTGCCTTTCAAATACAATAATTCTAAAAATAATAAAAAAAAAATACTTGGTCTGTGGCATTTTGTTATGGCAACCCTAAAAAATCAATATACTGCATACTAACCTTTTGAGAAACTTCCACAATGCTTTCCAAAGCAGCTGCACGATTTTAGATTCTCACCAGCAATGTATGAAGATTCCAATTTCCCCACACTCTTGCCAGCACTTATTATCTTTTTATCCTGGCCATCACGGTGGGTTTGAAGTATGCCACTGTGGTTTTCATTTGCCTTTCTCCAATGACTTAGTGATGTTAAACACTGTTTCAAGTTCTTAGGAATCATGTATATATTTCCTTTAGAGAAATGTCTATTCAAATCTTTGTCAACTTAAAAATCTGTAGTATCTATATTCTTATCAATGAGTTGTAAGTGGTCTTTACACGTTCTAGATGCATGTCCTCATCAGATGTCTCAACCGATTTTTTCTTTTAGAGGCACAAAAACAGTTCTAACGGGGAAGTTTAGCCTTTTCTACAAATACTACTGTAGCGATTGCACATCTATCCATAAGAAATGAGAGAACACTGACCTAAACTTTAAATATCTCATACAAAAGTTAACTCAAAATGGATTGTGGGCTTAGATTTGTTTCAGTACTAGCCTGTGAAAAATTAAACAAGGCTTTCTTATTATAATTGATGGTGAAATAAATGCTGCCTCTTCTGCCCGAAGATTCCACGATTCCTCTCTACGACTCAAGATTCTGCACTTAGGAAATTCTATTAAACTTGGATACGGCAGGCAGACATCTACCGGTGATTACTCATTGAAGGACAAATGTTTTAATGCAAATCAGATAAACTGATTCACCTTGTGACTACCAACCTTCATAGAGGGTTCTACAAACAGAAGAAATTCACGAGAAAACAAAAAAATATTACCACCTGGCTTCTTCAGGTTACCGATACCCAATCTCTTCATATGTCTGTTAAAACCGGGGGGAAAAAAACAAAAACCTAGAACTTTGATGTCTTACCTTGCATAGGGTTTTAGTTTTTAAAAGTAACAGGGGGCCGGCGCCGCGGCTCACTAGGCTAATCCTCCGCCTAGCGGCGCCGGCACACCGGGTTCTAGTCCCGGTCGGGGCGCCAGATTCTGTCCCGGTTGCCCCTCTTCCAGGCCAGCTCTCTGCTGTGGCCCGGGAGTGCAGTTGGAGGATGGCCCAAGTGCTTGGGCCCTGCACCCCATGGGAGACCAGGAGAAGCACCTGGCTCCTGCCATCGGATCAGCGCGGTGCGCCGGCCGCAGCGCACCGGCCGCGGCGGCCATTGGAGGGTGAACCAACGGCAAAGGAAGACCTCTCTCTCTCACTGTCCACTCTGCCTGTCAAAAAAAAAAAAAAAAGTAACAGGAAAAAAAGAGACAAACACGCAAAAGGAAGAAGCAATTATTTCAACACTCACACAAAACCAACTACAGTGTCTGCGGACTGTGTTCCTTTAAACTCCTTACACGGAGGGCTGTTTTCCAACAGTGACGACCGTAACCCCCTCCGGGCCCTCACGGCTCCCCGACCCACAGCGGGACGCGCTTGCACCCTACGTGGGCTCCGCGACGGCGGGGAGTTCCGTCAGCGTTCCAGCCGCGACAGCGAGCACACCCGGGCGCCGGACCCCGGCCCCGCGGGCTGGCCGCCGCGCCCTGCGCATGCGCCACCACGGCCCGCCCGCCAGGCCCCGCGGATCCCGGGGGTCGGAGCGGCGTCCCGTGGGCGGCGCAGGCAGCGGCGCGTGGCCCAGACGACCCGAGAGCGCGGACGACTCGCAGCCGACACGCGGGACCCAGCGGCGGCCCCGGCGCCCCGGGGCTAGCAGTCCCAGAATGCTCTGCGCCGCGCCGGCCCGGACCTCGGACTCCATTTCCCGGCGGCCCCTGCGGCAGGCCGCGGCTGCCGGCCCCAGCGCCCAGGCACCTTTGTGAGCGCGGCCGGCGACGGGAGATCGAGCCCCGGCCCCGGCCCTCGTCTCCGCGCACTTTGCGGACCCGGAGGGAGGAGTCGGTGAGGAGGGCGGGGGCGGGCGGGCACTGGGCAGCCCCCACCCCCACCCCCGGGACGGGGCTGGCGCCGGAAACGGGCGCCGGGGGCCGCCGTGCCGCCGTGTGGGAGAATGTGTGTGACCTTGTGGGACGGCGTGTGTGGCCGTGCGAGGCCTCGTGCAGCGCCGCGAGACCGTGTGACAGCGTGGGACGGTGCGGGAGGAACCTGGGAGGGTGCAGGGGCCTGTGACCGCGTCTGCGAGGCTGTCGTCGTGTGTGGGCGGTGTGAGGGGCGTGCGACTGCGGGCGGGGCGTCCTGATCCCCAGACCCGGGATTCTTCAGGGACTCACTTTCCGAGGCAGACTCAGAAGTTGGGATGGCTGTTCGCACGGCAGCCGCTCCCGCCCCTTTCCTCTCCCTGAGAATCCAGGTGGACTTCCAGGCAGAGTTTCTTAACCAGGAACAGATCCGGCCTGTCCTAACTCTGGACATGGGCCCCTCTGGTTCTCCAAGGCATGCGCTCTGTGTCTTTTTCTCCTGTCCTTGCAAAAAGGCTAGGGACAAGCGCCCTGTCAGCATCACCGCCTGGTGAAGACTAACAAGCAGACTTGGTCTCCACTTTGGTTACTTGCATATTACCATGACACCTCAGGTAATTCGCCAACGGTCTTCCTGTGTGGGAGCTTGCAAGACCCTTAGTTGATAATGCCATTCTGTAATTGCGTTACTGTTTATAAACAGACAACCTGTGCACAGAAAATGTATATTCTTGGGATGTAAAGCATTAGGAAACATAAACTATATATTAATTACTTCTTCAGTGACACATAGATCTGCTTCCGCGGTGGGGAGAGAAACGGAAGGAGAAGGAAAGGAGCTTCGGAGGCTCGTGATGCTGGGAGCTGCAGGAAAGGCCTGGTGTTTTGTGGTTTGTCCCCTCTCCCAGCTGTTTCTCAGGATTCTTCCCTTCTCCACAGAGGAGCCTGAAGAAGCAGGACCGAAGACCTGTCATACATTCTTAGTCTTAAAGCCATGTCCAAGGTAAGGACGCACTTCTTTTCTGAGTTGCCCTCTCACTTCTCAGATTATGTGAACATTTTGCTTTTCTTTCCAAATTCCCCAGCCTAACAAAGTCCATTTATTGAGTAAACTGCTCTTCATGTCTTCCATTCCACTAAAAGGAAGTCCTAACAAGTCCAGTGATCTTTTTTCTCCCAGCCAGCATTTTCATCTTCATTCAAGAAATAGTTCAACACCTTGTGTGAGTTCAGTGTGTTGTCAGGGAGATACATACTCCTGTGTGATACAAAAGGCTTCACTGTGGGGACTTTATTCATTGTGGGTGAGGGGTGTATTCAGTTGTGACTGCTAGCAGAGGGCTTTTCCAGAGATCTGGATTTGAAAGGAAGGCAAGAAAGGAGGGATGTGGATAGTGTTTTTTTGTTTGTTTGTTTTTAGATTTACCTATTTTGCAAGTCAGAGGGAGATATATACGGAGAGAGATCTTCCATCCACTGATTGACTCCTCAGATGACTGCAATAGCCAGTGCTGGGCCAGGCCAAAGCCAGGAGCCAGGAGCTTCTTCTGGGTCTCCCACGTGGATGGCAGGGACCCAAGTACTTCAGCCATCATCCGCTGCTTTCCCAGGTGCATTGGCAGGGAGCTAGATCAGAAGTGGGGCATAGCGGCGCTGGCACACGGGTTCTAGTCCCAGTCGGGGCGCCGGATTCTGTCCCGGTTGCCCCTCTTCCAGGCCAGCTCTCTGCTTTGGCCAGGGAGTGCAGTGGAGGATGGCCCAGGTGCTTGGGCCCTGCACCCCATGGGAGACCAGGAGAAGTACCTGGCTCCTGGCTTTGGATCAGCGCGGTGCGCCGGCCATTGGAGGGTGAACCAACGGCAAAAAGGAAGACCTTTCTCTCTGTCTCTTTCTCTCACTGTCCACTCTGCCTGTCGGAAAAAAAAAAAAGTGGGGCAGCCAGGACACAAACTGGCGCCCATATGGGATTTCGGCATTGCAGGCTTTACCAGCTGTGCTACAGTGCCAGCCCCCTTACTGCACAGTCTTCGTCATATCATAGGCAGAGTCTCTTGCTCAGTATGATTTTGAGGAATGGGATGTGCTGAGTCTTGAGTGTTAAAGTGTGAATCAGCTGGGAGAGATGTTTTCCAGGTGCTCTGAGCTTTGATGAGTAAACTTCCAGGAGTAGAGAGGTACCATTTAAGGGACATTCTGAGCAGCAGGCTACAGCTCTGATATTCTAGGTCATCCAATTAAGATTAACAGGATTAATATCAGAAAATAGAAGAACTTTTTTTGAAAAACGTACATGTTTTTAAAAAGCTACATAAATCCATAACAAAACATCAAAAATACATGGAATAGGAACCAGAAGAAATGAACCAAAAGAGCATATAATGTCCAGAAATAAATGCAAGTATAAGAAAGGAGAATATTTATTCACTCACTGCATATGGTTACTGTGCAGTAAGTACTGTGGTAGGGGCCTGCACTGTGGCCTAGCGGGTTAAGCTGTTCCTGTGATGCAGGCAGGCCACATGGACACCAGTTTTTGTCCTGGTTGCTCCACTTCCAGGCCAGCTTCCTGCTAATGGCCTAGGAAAAGCAGCAGCAGGTAGCCAAGTGTTTGGGCCACTGCCACCCACATGGTTACTTGGATGAAGCTCCTGGGCTCCTGGATTTGGTCTGGCCCAGCTGGGGCCATCTGGGGAGTAAACCAGTTATCTCTCTCTCTCTTTACCTCCCTCTCTCTCTGTAAATAAATCTTTTTTTTTTTTAAAGTACTATGGTAAATAGGCCGGCACGCCACTCACTAGGCTAATCCTCCACCTGTGGCGCCGGTATTCCGAGTTCTAGTCCCGGTTGGGGCACCGGATTCTGTCCTGGTTGCTCCTCTTCCAGTCCAGCTCTCTGCTGTGGCCCAGGAAGGCAGTGGAGGATGGCCCAGGTGCTTAGACCCCTGCACCTGAATGGGAGACCAGGAAGAAGCACCTGACTCCTGGCTTCAGATCGGCACAGCCTGCCGGCTGTAGTAACCATTTGGGGGGTGAACCAATGGAAGGAAGACTTTTCTCTCTGTCTCTCTCACTAACTCTGCCTGTCAAATAAAAAAAGGGGGGGGGGATCAGCTAGAACAACACTGTCCAATAGAATTTCCTACAATGACTGATGACTGAAATGTTTTATATTTGTACTGTCCAATCCAGTAGCCATTAGCCACATGTGGCTTTGAACACTTGTATATGCTAGCCTGACTGAGGAACTGAATTTTCAATGTAGATTAATTTAGATTTAAATAGTCTTATGTGACTAGTAGCTACTGTATCTGCACAGATTTAGGCTCATAAAATGAAAAGGCCAGAAGGAAGATTATGGATGATCTTGTCCGAGTTACTCATTGTACAGATGAGAAAAAAGAGGTAAAGGAAGGAAAGGGATATGTCTGTGTTACTAGTTAGTGACTGAGTCAGAGTTAAGAAGTTGTAAAATACTTTGAGGGTCAGTAGCATAGATGATGGTTAGTGATTTGAAGACAGAAGTAGGAAATAATGAAGGACACTGGAGAAACTCTGCTGGGGGCCATCATGTCACTTCCCAGAAACTTCATTGGCTTTCTATCTTACTGGAATGAAATGCAGCATCCTTCCTGTAGCCTATAAAATCCTATGGAAGGGTCGGCGTTTCCGTCCAACTGATAATCGGCAGTGCCCTTTCCTGTCTGACAGAGGTTTTGTCTTTTCAGACCCGACTCATGTTTCCATCTTTCTCAAAGGCCTTTCTTTCTCAGATTGTTCTGCTTTCAGAAGTGTTTTAGAGATGTTTCAGTAGTTCAGCTTTTCAAACAGCTGATGCGTGCAACTATTTCTTGGGACTATACTCTTCTGCCCCTTATGGCTAGTTGCAACTTTTAAAAATATTTATTTATTTTATTTATTTGAAAGGTAGTCAGAGATCCATCATGGCCCACGACATTCAGCGATGGGCCAAACTGAAATGAGGAACCAGGAACCAAAATTGGGTCTCTCACGTGGGTGGCAGGGACTCAACCACTTGTGCCACAACCTGCTGCCTCCTACCATGTGCATGAGCAGGAAACTAGAATCAGGAGTGGAGCCAGGCACTCTGATATAGGGTGCAGCATCCCAAGTAGTATCTTAACTACTATGCCAACTGCCTGCCCCACCTCCTTAGCATTTTTTGCATTGCTCAGACTCATTTTTCATTAAAATTGTTTCTGCCTAAGATGACCAATATATTTGAATATACCTTCAAAAGGAAGACTCTGCGAAGAGTCATATAAGAGTAGGGGTAACAGTGGGGGATCTGTCACTCAACTTGCTTGTTTTAACGCATACATCTGTGTAAGTCATAGTTTTGCAAAATCACTTGTTTACTATGTCTATTACATATATTTAATGTTAGAAAGTCAACATTATAAGCATCAAATATATTTACATATAACCCTATTGATATCACCAGAACATTGACCATTCTGTTGTACAGCTGGGAAAAATACCAGTTTAGACTACTTACATCTTAGGAGGTTTAACTCGTGACCTGCCCCCACACTTTCTTTACTGCCCATTGTGTCTTGATTTCCCTATACTGAAAAATGCTCTGGCAATTCATTTGAATAATGGATTATTTGGCCGGCGCTGCGGCTCAATAGGCTAATCCTCCGCCTAGCGGCGCGGGCACACCGGGTTCTAGTCCCGGTCGGGGCGCCGGATTCTGTCTTGGTTGCCCCTCTTCCAGGCCAGCTCTCTGCTGTGGCCCGGGAGTGCAGTGGAGGATGGCCCAAGTACTTGGGCCCTGCACCCCATGGGAGACCAGAAGAAGCACCTGGCTCCTGCCTTCGGATCAGCGCAGTGCGCTGGCAGCAGTGTGCCACCCGCGGTGGCCATTGGAGGGTGAACCAACGGCAAAGGAAGACCTTTCTCTCTGTCTCTCTCTCTCACTGTCCACTCTGCCTGTCAAAAAAAAAAAAAAAAAATGAATGGATTATTTTATTCTTGATTGTTTACAGTGATGTGTTATTGCACTATTTTGTAATTGTGTATGTTCTATTTTCTCCACCAGTAGAAAATATCTCTGCAATGATACACTTCCTATGACAAAATATCAAAACTAAGCATAGAGAAGACATCTAACAGTTACTTGTCATATGTTGCTAAAACCCAAGATGCCATCAGATAATTTCACTCTTTGTACTATTTCTCTCTGCAAGTGTAGTCAGTATGACTCTTTGGCCTAGGCTTATGTGAGGATCTGAACCCTAATTGAGCCAGAACATGTTTATGTTATTTCAGGATTTGGTGACATTTGGGGATGTGGCTGTAAACTTTACTCAAGAGGAATGGGAGTGGCTGAACCCCGCTCAGCGGAACTTGTACAGGAAGGTGATGTTGGAGAACTACAGGAGCCTAGCGTCACTAGGTAAGCAACTTTCAGTGCTGTATCTGGGAAGCCTCTGTATGCTTTACTACCATCTCTCTTTCTGTGGTCCCCAGAATAGGCTGAGCTGTATAGAACTGGTAAGCTTTATTAGACTATTTTCTGCAACTTCATCTTCCCTAGTCTTCAGAATACTTCCTCTCTTCGTTCTTTTCATCAACTTCCTCTTGTAATGCCCCACTTTCCTAATGTCTGAGAGACTGTTCTTGATTTCGACACATGGCTCATTCTCCCTTCATTTCTTCTACACAGGAGTTTCTGCTAAGCCAGATGTGATCTCATTATTGGAGCAAGGAAAAGAACCCTGGATGGTGAAGGAGGGAACAAGAGGCACATGCCCTGGTGAGTGAAAGTGAACTAGTGAAGTGGAAGCCATTTCCTGGAAAAAGCTCAGGTATTCTGAAAGGTTCCAGCTTATAATTGTTTCTTCCTGATAGATTTTATTAAAAGTTCAAGGCTTGGGAAGAAACATTGAGGTAATTTTAGCATGAGCTCCCCTAATTTATTCTCTGTGTATTTTATCTCCTAAGTTACTATCTTCTCTGATGACCCGTTTTTTTCATTCTCTGGGTCCTGTGTTACTCATTTCTTTTAGATTGAAAGATTAATGCATTTACTTATTCACGTATTCTTTTGCCAAGATTATTCAGAGATTTCTAAACCATCAAAGAAAAAAAGGTGTTTCTAGTTTTATTTTCAGGACTGGGTAACTGGAAGGTGATGGCACTTAATAAAATAACCAGAATAAAATGATGGGAGGAGAGATGATGAATTTACTAGGAAACATGAGAGATGTATTTTTATGAGATGGGGAGATTCCCAAGGGAAGAAATGCAATGTGCTATTGGGTTGGAAAACAGGGGTTCAGAAAAAAAGTGTGATTTAAAGATATTAGTGTGAGTGAGCGATCACCTTAGAGTTTGTGAGGCAAAGCCTGATGCTTAGGCATTTATGGGGAAGTGGGTCTTTGAAAACTTTCTCAGTGTTCTCTAGAATTTATGGCTTTGGTTAAATGTTATATTTTTCTAGGTATTTATCCTATTCATTTGGTTATCATATTTCCATGAACTTGGGCAAAGTAACCTATAATTATTTTTATTTCTTTTATATCCAATTTTAATTTATTTTATATAATAATTCTATTTTAGAAGAATCTATTTATTGGGTTTGCCTGTCATAAATCATTTTTTATTTTTTAAGACTCAGCTTATGGATTTATCTGTTAGTGCTTCCATTCTTTCTTTTCCAATTCACTATTTTTGCTTTTCTCTTAACTAATTCTTTTAGTTTTATTTTGCTCTCCATGTTGCTAAAATGAAACCTTAATCTATTCTTTTCATCCTCTCTTAAGTAATGAAATTACTAAGTTTACTAATTTTCCTGAGTTTATCTTCAGCTGTCTTCTAAAGATTCTGATACGTATTTTTTAAATTTACATTGTATCTAAGAGTTGTCTAGAATAGTTTTCTGGTTTTATTGCATTTTGATCAGATTGTTTTACTATATTTGAACAGATGGAATTATTAAAGAATTATTTAGACGCAGTAAACTATATCCGTATTAACTGTACAATTTGATGAGTTATGACATTTGCATACACCCTGAAATCATAACAATGCAGATACAGCATTTCCATCATAACACTGCTGTCTCTTTGCAGCCCATCCTCTTTTCCACACCTACTTCCAAACACTAATCTGATCTTTGTCATTTTAGATTAGTTTGCATTGAAACTAATGGGAAGCATGTAGTATCTATTCTGTTATATTTGGCTTATTCCACTCAGCATAATTATTTTGAAATTCATCTGTATTGTGGCATGTATGCAAGTTGAGCTGTATTATGTTAAATAGTATCCATTCACAACAAAATGTTTTATACATCCACTAGCCTGGTGATGGACATTTAGGTTGTTTCCAGTTTTTGGCTATTATAAAGCAAACTGCTATGAAGTATGCAGAGGACGTTGTGTGAACATACGTATTCATTTATTTTGAGTGAATAACCAAGAGTGGAAGAACTAGTCATATTAAGCATATGTTTACTATTTTAAGAAACTGTCAGATAGTCTTCCAGAAGGATTGTACCGTATATTCGTTCCCTCTAGCAGTATATGAGAATTCCAGTTGTTTCCATATCTTCATCAGATCTTAGTAATTTTCAGTAGTGTTTCTAATTTTAGTCATTCTAGTGGCATATTGTGGTTCTAATATGCATCTCTGTGATGACTAATAATGTTGAACATCTTTTTTTAAGCATATTGGTCATGCATATATCTTCCATAAAGTGTTCGTATCTTTTGTCCCAGTTTTATTGTGTTGATGGCCTTCTAATTATTGAGTTGCAAGAGCTGTGTGTATAGTCGTTCTAAAATTTTTCTTTATTTATTTGAAAGATCTCCCACATGCTGGTGCACTTCCCAAATGCCAACCACAGACAGGGCTGGGCCAGCCCAAAACAGCAGGGACCTCAGTCTGGGTCTCCTACGTGGGTGGCAGGGACCCAGCTACTTAAATCATTACCTGCTACCTCTTAGGGTGCATGTCAGCAGTAAGCTGGAATTGAGAGCAGAGTGGGGACATGAACCAGGAATCCCAAGCAGGCAGTGTCTTAACAACTACACCAAATGCCCTACCCTCTCATACCTGTATACAGTCTTAAAATAAGTTCTCTGTTATTTATATATATTGGGATATATGCCTGCCAATTGTGACTTGCCTTTTCGTTTTTACGCTGCTCTCTTTTGTAGTGCCAAAGTTTTCCATTTTTAAAAGATGTATTTATTTATCTGAAAGGCAGAGCTAGAGAGAGAGAAAGGTCTTCCATCTTCTGGTTCACTCCCCAGAAGACCAAAGGACTCAAGAACTACATCCATGTTTCCCGTAGAGATGACAGGGGCCCAAGCCGGAGCCATCTTCTGATGCCTTTTCAGGTGCAGTAGCAGGGAGCTGGATCAGAAGCTCCCTGACAGGACTTGAACCAGCAACCCAGCATGGGGTGCTGGCATCACAAGTGGCTGCCTGACCTGCCGCACCACAACACCAGCCCTGACATTTTTCAAATCCAGTTTATTCATTGGTTTTGGTTGGAGCTTCGTTTACCTATCTAGGAAATTCTTGCTACTGACAGGTCACAAAGGTTTTCTTTTAGGAGTTATGTATTTTTAGGTTTTACATACAGTCTGTGATTCATTTTGAGCTAATTTGTGTGTCTTAATATGAGGTAAAGCTTCAGGTTCATTTTTTTCCATGTACATACATATCTGTACAGTTGCCTCTTTACTCCTTGTTGGGACTTTCCTTCCCCATCGTATTGCCTTAGTACCTTTGCTCAAAATTAGTTGATTACATTTACATGAGTTTGGTTCTCGACTATTCTGTTTCAATGACCTATGTATGTCTTTCACTACTACCACAGTTTGGAATCCAGTAGCTTTATCATAAAAAGGACAATTTGTAACATTGGTTTGACTATTTTATTTTAGATCATTTGCATTTCATATACATTTCAGAAGAAATTCCTTTCTTAGGAATATTTTGTAGTATCCAGTAGAGTGGGCTTATATGTCTTTAAAAAATCTATTCTCAAGTTATTTTATGGTATTTTGAATGCTATTATAAATAGAATTATTTAACATTACATTTTTACAATAGTTTGCTGCCAGTATGCAAAAATATTAATTAGTTTTAAGACTAAGTTCGTATCTTATTGCCTTCTGGATTCATTGGGTAGTTGTTCTAATAGTTGCTTTTTTAAAAGATTTATTTATTTATTTGAAAGGCAGAGTTACAGAGATGGAGGAAGACACACAGAGATCCTAACTGCTGGTTCACTCCTCAAATAGCCATAGTGGCCAGCGCTCCGGCAGGCTGAAGCCAGGAGCCTGAAACTCCATCCAGGTCTCCCATGTTTGTTGCAGGAGCCCAGGTACTTCAGCCATCTTCCTCTGCTTTCCAGTGCATTAGCAGGAAGTTGGATCAGAACTGGAGTGGCCATACTCAAACTGGCTCTCTTATGGGGTGTCTGCATTGCAAGCTGTGGTTAAACACTGTGCCACAACACTGTCCTCCCTAGTAGTTGTTTTGTAGGTTCCTGAGAATTTGTCTAAGGCAACCATGCCATCTGCAAATACAGCTTTATTTCTTTACTTATGATCTTTATGACTTCTTTTTCTTTACGTATTGCAGTGACTAGGACCTCCTGGACAGTGTTGAACAGAAGTGGTAAATGCAGATATACATGTATTCCAGTCTTAAGAGACGTATGTTCTTTCACTATTACATAGATGAAAGCTGTAGGTTTTTCAGATGCTCTTGATCAGTTTGAAGAAATTCCTTTCTATCCTGGTTTGCTAAGAATTTTTATAATAAATAGGTCAAAAACTATCGGCTGGAGCCACGGCTCAACAGGCTAATCCTCTGCCTAGCGGCGCCGGCACACCGGGTTCTAGTCCCAGTCGGGGCGCCAGATTCTGTCCCGGTTGCCCCTCTTCCAGGCCAGCTCTCTGCTGTGGCCCAGGAGTGCAGTGGAGGATGGCCCAAGTGCTTGGGCCCTGCACCCCATGGGAGACCAGGATAAGCACCTGGCTCCTGCCTTCGGATCAGCGCGGTGCGCCGGCTGCAGCGCACCACCCATGGCAGCCATTGGAGGGTGAACCAACGGCAAAGGAAGACCTTTCTCTCTGTCTCTCTCTCTCTCTCTCTCACTGTCCACTCTGCCTGTAAAAAAAAAAAAAAAAAAAGGAAAAACTATTGAAATCATCATGTGATTTTCATTTAATCTATGAATACAATGAATTACATTGATTTGTTTTCTAATATTAAACCAACCTTGCATTTCTGAGATTAAACCCTACATGGTCAAGATTGTGCTTCTCATAAGTTACTGGATTTGATTTGCTGCAGTTTTATTAGGAATTTTGCATTTATGTTCATGTGCTACATTGAGCTGTAGGTTTACTTTGGTAATTTCTTTATCTGGTTTTATTATCAAGTAATACCAGTCTTATGAAAACAGGAAATATTTTCCCTCTTTTATTTTCTGAAAGAGTTTGGATAGAATGGTATTATTTCTTCTTTAAATGTTTGGCAGACATCACCAGTGAAGACATCTGTGCCTAGAATGTTTTTTATGTAATAGGTTTCACAGTTATATAGTTCTTGAATCAGCTTTGGTAGGCTATATCTTTCAAGAAATTTGTGCTTTCAAGAAATCTAAGGCAACGAGTTGCCTAATATGAGTTATAAATAATATTACCTTTTCAATGTCTGTGGGGTGTTTAATGATAACTCCTCTTTCAGTTCTAATGTTGCAGACATCTGTTCCAAGCAAAAAGACTTGGT